GAAGTACAATACCTAGCTGCTGTTTGATCATAAATGCTATGACAAATAGCTATTCAAGACCTCTTATGCATTAATAACAGGGAGTTTTTATCTATTAACTCAGAAAATTGGAAATTGGTCATGTTGCCCTGCTCTTATCTTCAGTGAGGGTCTCATTCAACAACCCTTCTGAGTGGAGATGGTTATTTCAGCCAGTATCCATACTTGATTTGAAATTGTTTTCTTTTAATTCTTTTAATATTACTCTTTGAGTTGGTCCAGAGGGTGCAACTGGTGCAGAATGTGGCGGCTAGGTTGCTTGTAGCGGCGAAACTACCACCAACATATAGCAGCACCCTGCTTATCGGATTTGCACTTGCTGCCAGTCTGTTACCAAACCAAGTTCAAACTGGGATACTAACATTTAAGTCCCCACATAGATGAGAACCAGGTTACTTGAGAGGCTGCCTATTTTGCATCCAACAGGCCACCATGGTCTGCAGGAGAGTTTAACCTAGATGTTCCAAAAAACTCGGAAGCCCCTTCCACAGAAACTCGGAACAGGGCTTTTGTGTGGTTGACTGTTTTGTGGAAGAGCATACCTGTCCAGTTCTGCCAGGCACCCACTATCTGCACTTTCCAGAAACAACTTAAGGCATTTTTGTTCCGATGGGCTTTCCCTAGCTGGATAAATGTACTACGAGTCTTGTTTTAAATGTATTTGTTGTTCTTGTGCTTCTAAATATCTTATGTGTAAACTCACCTTGAGATGGTGGTTTAGAAGGCGATTAATTTATTACTCATTATAATGTAAATGATTTTAACTATTTTTGTACATGCAGTTGTTTTAACTGTTTTACAGATTTTTTTTATGGTATTGTGACATTTATCCAAGATGCTTTAAAGGAAGTAATTCGTGATAGAAATAATATGATAGCTGCATTAGTATGTAATGAGAGTGTCTAATAACGAACTATAAAGGAATTCCTTCTGGCTTGCTGGGTAGACTTCCATCCTCCCTTTGGCCCTATTAAGAAAAGCTGAGGGGCCTCAGTTGTCCCCAATCTGAGGCTATGTGCATTATCTTGCTAGCATCTTAGAGGTTCACGATTATGGAGATATAATAACCAGAGCAAGCAAGCAAGCAAGCAAGCAAGCAAACCTTTAAACCAATACACAGAAATATTTCCTTCCCATTGTTACAGGAAAAATCTGAGGGCTCCCTTGGACAAAAATAAAACACCAACCAGAGCAAATTGAAGCAAATCAGCAGCCTGTAGGCCTGGTCTTTATTGAAGAAAGACTGTCGCGACAGGGTGCTCCCCTCACTCGCAGGTGAGAGGAAAGACCCAGAAAAATAGTGTGCAAGGTCTTATAAAAACTTTTGAAATTCCCCTCCTCTAGGTCAAGCCCACCCCCCAGAAACATCATGCATATATTACAGAAAGGAGGGGTTGAGGGAGGAGTTGGTGGTAACCTGAGTATCTTGTCACCTGGCTGGTTCCTCCTTTCCCCCCTCCCCATGAGTCACTTCCAGGAGACAAAGGGGAGTTTGCAGTTTCCTGCCCCCTGAGGGAAGATCTGATCATTGTCCTTTGTTTCAGTCCATGCTGAATCCACTCCCATATGCAAGTTCTTTGTGGTCTTGATTGTCTTCTGTCTGGGATCATCTGGGCAGGGCTCCTGCAGATGTGCTGAGACAGTGAAGGGATTTTGGCTGACCAGGGTCAAACCCCCCTCCCCTTTTGTTAGTTCTTGTCATATGGAGTAAAATAAAAATGGAACAGTGCAAATCCAATGTATGGCTGATTTTCTATGAATTTATAACAGAAATGTGGCGTATGTAGTGTGTGAGTGTGTGTGTGTATGAAGTTTGTACAAGCAGAATGATTGGGGTGGGGGGGGGGTTCCTGCTACAGTTCCCCCCTTCGGAGATAAGATTGCAAAGGTGGCTACTTTGCAATCCTTTTCTCCGCACAATTTAAGGTGGTAAATATTAACCTGCTATTCTCCATGTGTCCATGTGAACGTGAAAGGGACTTGGATGTCATGCTTCTTAAGGATATTTGCATAGAAATATAATGGTGTAACAGTGCACATAGTTAGACGTAGGATATCATGTAAAATTAATATTTTGTTGCTCAGTTACTTGTGGCATTCTAGTACCTTGGAAGAGATATTTTCTCAATAGTGGCGTATGCTTTACATTTAGCAGGAAGGTCCACTAATGACTGAAAAATGCAGTTTGCTTTGTCCCCCGCCATTTTTGTGTTCTCAGGTGTCAAGGTAGCTCTTCTATGGTCTCACACCAGCATGGTGTCACAGCAGTGGCAATCCCTGGTGAATCCACTTAGGGCTTTCATATTAACCATGTTGTCTGGCACTCACCACAGCTGGCACAGGTTTGGGCACGTCAAAAAATCAAAATCAAAACTTTATTAGCAAAGCCAACAGGCCACAGCTGTACAAGAGTTAAAAGTGAAAATAGGGATAAAAGGAAGAAAAGAACAGGCAAAAGGAGGTCCGTCGGGTGAAGAGGTCTGTCACTCAGATGGTGGCCCTCAATTTCGCAGCTCTCTCGATGTACCTCGCGACCTTCTCTGTTATCTGACTATCCGTATCAGATAATAGAAAATACAGTGTAATGTCTGGTGAACGGCCGGGGTTGGAGAGAATGAGTGGAGTAATAATCTCATTCCTTAGGTCTTTGTAAAGGGGGCAAGAAAGAAGGACGTGGGACACTGTTTCCGTGTTACCATCTCCACATGGGCAGAGTCGTTTTTCAAATGGAGTCTTTTGGTAACGACCTTCGAGTACAGCAGAGGGAAGAACATCCCATCTAGCCAATGTAAAGGCACGTCTGTATTTTGGGATGGTTAGTTTAGACAAATATGAAGCTGGAGAGTCAAAATGAGAAGGGGGAAAGTAGGTATACCATGGGCACAGTTTCTTTAAGATAGTCAGGTTGTTTTGTCGTTCAATGTCTTTCAGGCGCTGGCCTATTAGACTCTTTGCTTTAATGAGGCCCATTGATAGTAGGGACTGTGAGTGCAGACCGCATGTAAGGAGTTTTTGATGCACAGTTTTAAACCACTTGCTTTTGTGAGGGTCTTGCATTACTAGCGGCAGTAGACCAGTTGGATTCAGATTAAGACGAAGCCAATAATTAAATGTTCTCTGCCAGGTCCGAGTTTCCACAGATGGAAGGCAGGCCTCGAGTCGTAATGCTGCGTTTGGAACACAGGAGGGGACACCGAGTATCTGCCTTAGAAATTTGGACTGGACAGTTTCAAGACTGGAGCAGTGGTTCCCCGTCCAGATTTGCGCCCCGTACAGTAACTGCGCCAGAGGTTTTGCTTGAAAAACTTCAAGGGCTGCTGGGATGTATCTGCCCCCCTTCGTGTAGAAGAAGCGGGACAGCATCTTGATGCTTTGAGCAGCTTTTTCTTTGGCACATTTTTGATGGACATCCCAGGACCCGGTCGACTGGAAAACGATACCCAGATATTTGAAGGCTTTGACTTGTTCAATTGTCTGGTTATCCATCCTCCAGCTGTACTGTCTGTGTTTCCTTGCAAAAACCATAATTTTGGTTTTCTGATAGTTTATTGCAAGTTGCTCTCTCCTACAGTATGCTGAGAATTCACCTATGAGCCTATTTAAGCCTATTCTTGTTCGAGATAGGAGTATCGCATCGTCAGCGTACAAAAGCACTGATATTGCTTTGTCAGCCAGTTTGGGGGCGTGGAAGTCCGGAGATGACAAACAGTTAACCATATCATTGATGTAGATGTTGAATAAAACTGGGGCCAGGATGCAACCTTGCTTGACCCCCTTACTGACAGGAACTGGTCCTATAAGATGGCCATTTAACGAAGTTCTTACATGCAGCACCGTGTCTTTGTATAAACAGCTGATCAGAAATAATAGTCTTTTGTCTATGCTTGAGGTGCTCAATTTATCCCAGAGTCTTACACGTGGAATTGAATCGAAAGCAGCCTTTAGATCGATGAAGGCTGCATATAACACCCCACGGGATTTTTTGGCATATTTGTCAATTAAATAGGCTAGGGTGAAGCAATGGTCTATGGTGGATCTGCCTTGCCTGAAACCCGCTTGCTCTTCCGCTAGAATAGCTTCAGTTTCCAGCCAGCTAGTTAGCTTGGTATAAAGATGTTTGGCATATAGTTTGCTGGGTATAGGCAGAAGGCTGATTGGTCTATAACTCGCCGGATCTGTCATGGGTCCTTTTTTATAGATTGGTATAATTATTGCCTCAGTCCAACCATCTGGGAGTAAACCCGTTGAGTCGATCCAAGAAAATAAAGACGCCAGCAGGGGGGCCCACCAGCCAATGTTGGACTTCAGAAGTTCGGCAGGGATGTAATCATTCCCTGGGGCCTTGTTGTTCTTTAATTGTGCGATTAAATTCTCAACTTCCTTCGCAGTTACTGCTGGCCAATGAGGTAGGTCCTCCAGTTGAATGCATAGTTTGTAATGTTGGGCTTCCTGGTCATAGAACAAAGATTGAAAATGGCGCAACCACTCCATTGGTTCCACTGTGCAGATGGCATTAGTACGCTCCTGGTCCAATAGGCCAGATATGGTTCGCCAAAAGCAAGTAGTATCTTTCTCGTGCGATGCCTTAACCAACCTGTGCCATGCGGCTCTTTCAGCTTCCAGTTTCTTTCTCCTTAATAATTGTTTGTACGACCGTCTCAGATAAATATAAGCATTAAGTAGGAGGGCAGTCCCTGATTTCCTGTATCTCCGGTAGGCTGTTCTCATTTGTCTCCTTGTTTGCCTGCACTCCAGGTCAAACCAGCTAGCTCCGTCCTTTGCCCTCTTTGTAGCGGAGCTATGTATCACTGTTGTTAAATGGGGTTTCAATCTTTCCAAGAGTAATTTAAAGCGTTCCATAATCGCAGCTACTGAATTTCCTGATACAATAGCGGAGCGAATAAGCTTTAACTCCACTGACTGAAGAAGGAGGTTAGCCTGACGTAGTTAGACCCAAATCCTGCCAAGTAGCCTCAAGCCAGCAGACTTCCATGATGGGGAAAAGAAGACTAACTTAATTGTCCATGTTCACCCTGGACAAATAAAGAGGTTCACTACACTACAGTGTGGACTATATTCATCTCTTACCCAAGGCCTCAAAGCTGTAGGCCTCTTGGCAGGTTAACCCATCACCCCCCTAGAGGGCACTGGAGGATGCTGAGGGCTTGGGCAATGCAGGCTCTCCAAGGAAGCATGTCTGCTTTCCTCCCATTGGTGCAAAACTACTACCTCCAGCCGGGGGTCCTCAGGTAACACAAGGTTGCATCACAATGGGGGCTCAAAGTTTCAAGATGTCCAACCTCAGTTTCACCCCTCATCAAAGGACCTTGTCTGGGCAGGAAAAATGATCTAGCATCCTGGGCTGCAACCAATGCAGACCCTGGTCTGGGAGGCGAAGGACGGCGATGTATATACTTTGTGGTGACATGATGTCCTGAGAATGACAGATGAGCACGTTAAAGACACAATGGAGGAGTTTCTTCTCTCCCATGGTTACCAGATGGGTAAAACCATTGGAGAAGGGACATATTCAAAGGTCAAGGAAGCTTTTTCAAAAAAACACCAACGAAAAGTGGCCGTGAAAATTATAGACAAAATGGGAGGACCAGAAGGTAAGAGCCAGGAAAAAGCATTAAGCACAAGACAGATAAGGTTCTGCCAGTTCACACACCTAAATCGAGGAACGAATAGGCCCAATAGGTTGTATTTTCCTCCAGGAAGCTGGGATCCTCTGGCACAATTGCCTGCAATTGTCATTGAAACACTCTGCAAAAGCATTGCCATTCCTCTGAACAGAGACTGGGCTGTCTTTGCCAATGTGGCTGACCAGATTGTTTTACTACAACATGTAGCAAACTGCTTACTACTTTGCAGGATTTGTCCTTTCTGCAGGTGCTTCACCAGAATATTTGGGGTGGGGTGGGGAGAAGATGAGGTAAGGACAGTGAACTAAAGATCCCTAAGAGCAAGCAGGAACAGCCTACTCCTCTATCTAGTCTGGAAATACGGGGCCCCTTTAAACATTACTCTAGTTTTGTCCAAATTGCTTTTATGCAAGTGGCTCTTGCGCAGCAAGGGTAATGGTAAAAGGAACCACCAAAACAGCAGGGCTGATTATGCAGCAACCAACAAAGGAAGCTCCCCATGGGAAGACGTCTGAGGTTAGTCCTTGCCCATGGAAGTGGCATTGCTATTCAGCCTGTTGTGGACAGTTGGGAAGGGGAGCGTATCACAGCTCCAGCTTTTTGCTGGAGGGCCAAGTGCCACAGAGCAGCTTCCAACCAGCTAAAACTGGTACACTAGCTGTGGCTTTTTCTTGACACATAGAGCCTGGCCATAGTTATCCACGGTCTGGCATTCTCCTAGTTACTACAATGGGTTGTGTGGGGACCAGCTTTGAAGATTGCTTGGGAAGGATGGTTAGTTCCAGACACAGCTGCAAGCTTCCTCACTAGGATCAGGTATTGGAAACACATTTCACCAATAATGGTCTCCACTAGCTCCTGGTGTGTTTTCAAGTGCAATTCTAGGTGCTAAGCTTTCAATCCATGGCTTATGATCTGGACGCCTGATGGAACATTCCAACATTGACCAGTCCAAGCCCCAAAATCTTTGAGAGGTCTTCTCATTCTTCTTGTCTGAGAGAGTGCTTGAGTGGCATATAGGGAGAGGACTTCTTTTGGTTGTAAACCCCTCTTATTCTCAGGGAAGCTTGCCCAGTAACCATGCTTAGAGGTCTTTTAGGCACCCAGGCAAGACCCCTATTTATTTTTCTGCAAGCTTTTTAAAACTAGATTAGTTTTTAACATTCATGTTCTAGTTTGCTACTGGTATCTGTTTTGAAGCATATTGGAAAGTCCAGCCATATATAAATGGGCTTTTAATTGAACCCCATAACCCTCCACCTATTGGGTGGGGTTGTACTAGAGTGACAAGAATTTTGGGCAATAGGTATTCCAGAGAAATTGATAAGATTTTAAACTACCACTTTATCCCCAACTTCTCAATTAGCCCTTTTATTTATATTTGCCCAGAGTGATAAAATTTGCATAATAAGACTTGCCTAGTACACTGCTCGTATAGTAGCTAGAATGACTGTGGCACTGTTTTCAAATAAATTGGGACAGGGCCAATCTTACTACTTGGTACACTGAAGTTTGGATATTGCCTGCTGGAGAAAAACTAATAAAGCTATGAGTCCTTAAGGGGCAAGAATGGATTTCATGCCTTCTTCGTCTGACTTTATTTCATTTGTAAGCAAGGAGGAACATGGCAAGAAATCCCCCTCAGCCTATGAACTAATATGACTTATAGAGTATTCAAATGTCCTGAAACAAATGTAACAACTTTCCCCTTGTATAATAGGGCACATATTTTGTAACTCTTTTTTTTTAACCATTACATCTATGCTGTAAATAGTTTCCAGTTGCTACCTTCCACACCATTCACATACCTGTGGTTTATTTATTATGGTTTATTTTATGTCTTTGTTTGACAGTGAGCTTATAATTGGTGATGGACTATGTATATTGTCATCACGTCTTGTTTGAGACTTCCCCGGTAGCTATCCATGGTAATTAACAGAAAACACATACGTAATTTCCCTGGAGGACTCCTGATTTAATTTTACCAGGAATGGTGTAAAAAAGCTCTTCTCCAGCCAGCTTAGTTGCTAGTTAGCTCCTTAGTTGCTAGATAGCTAGTTAGTTAGCTATCTTTGCTTACTCTGTCATTTCCCCTCAGCAGAGTTTATCGAGAGGTTCCTGCCCAGAGAGCTCCAGATCGTCAAGCGCTTGGACCACAAGAACATCATCCGAGTGTACGAGATGCTGGAGTCAACGGACGGGAAGATCTAACCTGGTGATGGAACTAGCAGAGGATGGAGACGTGTTCGACTGTGTCCTGCAAGGGGGGCCCCCTTGCCTGAGAGCCGGGCCCAAATCGCTCTTCCGCCAGCTGGTGGAGGCAATCCGCTACTGCCACAGCTGTGGCGTGGCGCACCGTGACCTCAAGTGTGAGAATGCGCTCCTGCAGGGTTTCAACCTGAAACTGACCGATTTCGGATTTGCCAAGCTGCTCCCCAAAAACCGGAAGGACCTGAGCCAGACATTCTGTGGCAGCACAGCCTACGCAGCCCCCGAGGTGCTGCAGGGCGTGCCCCACGACAGCCGGAAAGGTGACATTTGGAGCATGGGCGTGGTTCTCTACGTCATGCTCTGTGCAAACCTGCCCTTCGACGACACAGATATCCCCAAGATGCTGTGCCACCAGCAGAAGGGGGTCTCCATTCCTGGCCACTTGGGGATTTCCGAGGAATGCCAGGACCTCCTCAAAAGCCTGTTGGAACCGGACATGATCCTGAGACCTTCCATCGAAGAAGTGAGTTGGCACCCATGGTTAGCAAGCTCCTGAGAAAAGGACCGTGTCAAAAACTCTCCCCAAATAAAAGGGGACAGGCTGTTTCCAAAATGCTCACATATATTTTAACGTTATGCTCAGTTTCTGGTCTATCCTTGCCCAATTCTTTGCACACTTCCCCCTCTCACTGGGCAAATTTGAAGTGGCCCCGGCCTCCAGAGATATATGAACAAGAGCAGAGAGGTGTGTCTTCCCTTGCCAGTCTCTCTCTCTCTCTCTCTCTCTCTCTCTCTCTCTCTCTCTCTCTGCCATCCAAAGCTGCCTCCAATACAGACCAAGGGCATGTGTGATGACTCTTAAGGAGGGCGATTGGCTCCTCCCCAGCTGCCTCTTAAAGGCACTGTTTTCAGTGGGCATCCCACAGGAGTACTTGCTACTTTGCAAAAAATATTCCATGTCAAATATAAAACCTAAGAAGCTGTCTTATACTGACCAATCAATCCATCTAGCTCAGCATTTTCAGCTCCAGCCTAAAAGAAGAGGTAAAAAGCTCCAGCCTACACCAACCTGGTGCTATGAAAATGTTTTAGACTAAACAAAGGCAGGGCAGCAGGTTGGCAAAGGCTGCTCTAACTGACAGGGAGGTTTTCCCCCAGGCTGATACCTCAAGAGCATTTTAACTGGAGGCCTCAGGCACGTAGAGCACAGGGTCTGCTGAGTGACAGCCCATCCTTCCATAGGTGATAGATATATCTAACAAGCTTCTGCAATCTCTTTGGCTACGAGTGGGAAAAGAGCAAAACAAGGCAACTAGAGCACTTGCAGCCAGAGGCCAAGCAGGGGCTGTGGATTACTTGCTCCCAAGAGTGCTCTTTCTCCCTTTTCATGAAGGCCCCCAAGGAAGGAACTTTCCAAACAGAATCTGAAGGAAGCAGCTGTTTTTATTTTTGTCATGGTGGACCTAGAGCTGGGGCGGGGGGGGGGAGGGAGGGATCCCACTGCCACTCCCACATTCTCTCCCCTCTTCAGCCACCCCTAAACACCTTGCCCTTCAGACTAGAGGGTACAGATCCTTCACCCTCCCATCCCACCATATCTTCCAAGAGTATAGCAGCTAGTTGTAACCCCTATTCTGGCAATACAGCCTGTCTTGTTGCACATCCCCTCTAAGACAGCAGTGTGTTATTTGGCATCTCTGAAAGGAAGAGAATCATAGAAACGGCAGAGTTGGAAGAGACCCAAGGGTCATCTAGTCCAACCTACAATGCAGGAATCAAAGCTAACCAATCTCTGGCAGGTGGGCAGCCAACCTCGGTTGAAAAACCACCACCTTCCGAAGTTGTTGATTCCACTGTCAAACAGTTATCAGCGTCAGAAAGTTCTTCCTAAGACTTTGAATCTGAACTGAATTTGAAAAAACACACACTTCCCAGACTATGGCTGCTACACCTACTTGCACAACAGGGTTGGCTGGGGGGGGGGGAGTCAAGAAACCAATATCACCAGGCCATTTCTGTAGAACTCTTTTAATTGCTGTTAACGGCAAGTCTGTAAAAAGGTTCAGGAGAAAGTCATCATTACAAAACTAAACAGCTGTTAGAGTCACTTCTTCACCCCAGCTAGAAAACAGTCCAGGGAGTTGCAGTATAATTTAAAAAATGAGAGAATATTGCACAACCAAGAGAGAAGAAAATCAACTATGGAGAATTATGATGAAATCAGAGCCTCAGTGCTTTTCCCCAACCCTAATTGGAATGAGCCTCGTCCCCTTGGCAGGCTACCTCCTTGAAACAGAATCTGGCTCTATACTACCATGCTTTGCCCCATCATCACACAGACACATCTAAAAAAGCAAGCTGACCCAGGAGCCACAGATGTCCCTTGACAACCACCATCCTTCTCGGACACTTGGGTTTGGGCTCTTCTAGGCAGATGTCACACCACTGATTCCTGGCACCCCTATGCTCTGCTAAACTCAATGCGATCCAGTCTTCAAGGGGATATAGAACATAGCTCATTTTCTAAACTATCTTCGTGTCCCGTGGCTTAGCCAAGCCCTCATAAGGATGATTAAGACACATCCAAAAGCAGCCCCTCAAGACTGTGGTGGAGCTCGTACCTGCAAATGCAGGGAACATTCATTTTTGCACTATGCTGGAGAAGGGCAGTGGGGCACATGCTACCCTGCCCCCCCAAAATCTATCCTGTTTTTGATCACAGGAACAGAAGTGGCCTTATACCAGCAACTCAGGCAGAAGGTCAAACCCACCTCCTGCTGCTACATGATCTTTCCAAAGGGAGATGGCAGGGACTGAGACAGGGATGCAGCATGAATGTATGTGCTCTACCACTGATCCCCATTTCAGAAGCAACAGCTCATGTGGACCGAGGACAAACACAACAAGAAATACTGTGAACAAAGCAACCAAGAAACTTGGGTGCTTCACTCTCCTTAATCTGCTTTTAGGGTTGACTCTGTTGCTAGTTTCCCCCAAATGGGGGTTCATTTACATGGGCTGGCTCATACAGGAGCCTGCAAACATGTCTCCACACCATCAGAAGCCTCTAGGAGAGGTGACTGTAGCAGCTATAAATTCTGACAGCTACTAAGCGACCCATGGAGAGCCTCCTTCCAGCTCTCGCACAGCACTGCTGCGTGCTCAGTTGCTTACTTTCCTTTTGGCAGTGTTTGGCTTCCAATAGGAGCAGGAAAGAGAAATAAGTAGCAGGAACTTTCTTAATCCTGTCTGGTACTCTTAAGAAGCCAAGCACTGTTGAGAAGATGAATGAATGAGCAGCAGCAGTGTGAGAAGGCTGGAAGGGAGTCGCCTTTGGATGGCTCTGGCAAATATCAGATGCTTCTGAAGGCTCAACCACAGGGGCTCTGGTATGAAAGCAGCCTAGGAACCCCCCCCCCCCAGGTATATTGCATCACTGGGGAGGAACATAAGCACATTTCCTGTCACAGCTGTATGCACCAGAGAGATGCTGAACCTCTGCACAACTCCCATTTGTTTCAACGGAGTTTGTGCACGAGAACTTCCTAATGGAGAGGAAGCCCATTTCCATTTTGGACCCATTTTAGAAAAGCATGAACAGAGCTAATCAGTTCTGAGGTCAGAGATGCTCAAGTAGTTACATACGCTTTCAACTCAACTATGTTGTGGCAAGGAGCATATCAGGAAAAGGGATCGCACCAAAAGGAAACAGATATGCCTAGAGAAGGTCAGAGGGATGCGGGCAAGGAAGGAACACAGCCTTGTAGGCAGTTGTAGCTCTTGGCAAGGTTGGGGGGCAGGAGAGACCTCTCCCCAGGGATGGGGTTTTTCCAGAGGCTTGCTACATACTAGCCTTCACTAGGTTGGCGAAGGCTGCCATAGACAGAGATTGACAAATGCATCAGCCCAAGTGGGGGCGGGAAAGAGGGGCATGAGGCTTTGGCAAATGCTGGTCCTTCAACACTGACCGTCAGTGCTTCTCAGGGATGCCTAATAGCAAGGCCACCAGCAGAGGAGCTGCACTTGCACCATTCAGCAGCTCCACAGAAACTCACACCCAGCCCTTTTCAAAGAAGGTCTCAGCAGCACAACCCAGCAGGAACATCTCCTTCCACTTGCGTTCAATTCAGGGGAGCTTGTGCAGCAGATGCTCCCGCTAGTGTCACGTGCTGCTAAGCAAGGATTCGGCTTAAGATTTCATTTTTATTTTTTAAAAGTGCTTCAAGTCCCAGAAAAGCAGAGAAGGAGCAGTTCAGGAGGGATAGGTAGGGATGAGAGGACTCTCCCAGCTTTTCAATGTCCTGGCTTCCTATCAGGCAGTGCAAGATGCTAAGGGAAATGGGTAGGAGCAATCAGACACCATGCTAGAGGGGTTGTCTTCTCCTTCTCTAAAAGCTTATTGGGTTTCATGAAAACACTCACACAGAAGGAGGCACAGCTAGGAAGTGGCCGGCCTAGTGAAGAACAGGCATAATAATCCTAATTATCTTCTAGAGCCCAGTCAGACTCACCTCACACCCACCCCAAACCACCATCAACTGACACCCACCTCAAACCGTGCCCTCCCCAAAGGAAAATAAATCCACACTGAGACAGCTCTGAGAGAAGCAATAGTCCAGAGGACCTACTGGGAAGATGCACCTATCCCTGTGCCCCACTCCCTCTGCCGAGGCTCTTCGGCAGCCCCACGTGATACCAGCCACCACCAGGATCCAAGTGTGGGTTATGGTCCAAGGTCCCCAACAGGATTTCAGCAGAGATGAGTTGCAGCCAGCCCGGAACACATTTACACAGGAAAAAGGAACCGGTTGCTCTGTGGTTTAATTCACATTGGATGGTGCGGAGGGGGGAAGGGGGTGGGGGAAGATACCAAGATGCACCACAGAAGTGACGGCCCCATGTTATTCCCAGTCTTCCCATTCTTCATCTTCCATCTGCAGTAGGAGAGGGAGGGAGCGCAAGAAGAAAGGTGTTTTAAGGTAGGATGTTACAAAGAGACAAAGAGCAAGCACTGACCGAGGTCACACAATGATTGTGCACAGGATTACACCAAGAGCTGCCAGCAAATTAAAGCATTTTAAGTTGGTTGATCCTTTGCCTTGCAAAGAACCAACCAAGCAATCCAGTCTATGTGCTGCTGAAACATTATTAAAACCTGAGACCAGAAGCCATATATACAGTTGCAATCAAAATTATTCAACCCCTATTGCAAATCAGGTTTATTATCAAAATTTTACACTTTCAGCTGTTGGCAATGAGGAAATCAAACAAATACAATTGAAATAACTCAACCCAATGGATACTTCAAGTGGTTTCCCCAAATTCAGCTAAAATAGATGTGGCCTTGAAGATACAAGTGATTGGATCCCAGTCAGCCGTCTTGCCAGAGAGAACTAAAGCATTAAGATAGTCCTCCTCTTCCTCCCCCTCAGTGCCTGGCAGCTCCTCTTCTACAAAAGAGCAGGCGTGGCATTTTTCTGAAGCACAAGGACATGCCTGTGTTCAACACAAGTCATGTACATGTTGGTGTCACAAAGGTGTGAGCAACAAAATAAAGAAAAATAAGGTCCTCATTGTCTCTTTTGAAAGCCCTCTTAAGCCTGCAACCCTACAACCCTTTCCCGGGAGTAAG